TTTTTTACTGATTTCAGAGAGAGGAAGGGAGAGGGAGAGATAGATAGAAACATCAATGATGAGAGTCATTGATCGGCTGCTTCCTGCACGCCCCCTACTGGGGATCGAGCCTACAACCTGGGCATGTGCCCTGACCTCGCTCTCCTGGATCATAGGTCAATGCTCTGCTGCTGCGCCGGCCGGGCAAAACAATTTACTTTTGATAATGGCATTACTCAGTTCCTTCTTACTGAAATATCTCGTGAAGACCCAATGTCTTGTCTAGTTCAGGATTAGCTCTTTGAGACCTGTAGAGAAAATTGGTTTTTTTACAGTCTGTTGAGCAGAGATATGGGAAGATCAGAAGAGTATGTGTGCTCTAGGATGGGGGAAGGAATCCCTGGGAGGTGGATGTTTAATGCATTTCCAATGATAGTAAAATGGTTCTAGGTGCATTGTTATTTTTCCAGGGTTACTGTTTTCAGTGCAATACAGAAAGAACATGACTTTAGAGATTGATAGGATTGGGAACAATCTCTGATAACCGTGTTGGTGCCACATCCATAGCCAGTTCTCTTTCCTTGGGCAGGAGCTGCCGTTATACTGCTCGGGGGGGTTGCGGTTTTTCTGGGACAACAAGTTTGATCATGCAATGGTGGCTTTCCTGGACTGTGTGCAGCAGTTCAAAGAAGAGGTCGAGAAAGGCGAGACACGATTTTGTCTTCCTTACAGGTCAGTATCCCCCAGGGCTGAGTGAACCTAGAGGAGGACCAATAGAGCAGAACTGAAGGGGCAGTAGGAATAGCGGCGAAGCGTAGTATAAGTGGTGGGAAGGCAGAAAATGGCACAAAATCATGATGCTGGTGGGCAGAGCTGATCTAACACTGCAACTGGGCCGGAATATGACCAGCTGGCTCCCGGAGGGAAAGGATGTTGTCTTAGATGGTCTGGGGGGTTTTCTTGGCACAGAGCTCATGCACGCTCTCCAATTTCAGGAAGGTGGTTCCTTAAGCCCCTGGAAATACACAAGAATGCTTCCTTTGCCAAATTGTGCAGGAGCCGGGTGATGGATAGATACCTTAATTCAAGAGAGTACGGCTGAGCTGCTGCTATCACCCCAAAACAAAGCGTTTCTTTTCTTCTGCCTCCCTTCTCTCCCCATGAGTTCAGGGATGCCTAGGAAAACAGTGAGGAGTACTGTAACCCTCACTTATCCTCTGCTCCAGGCTTGTCATCTGTTTGGGTGTGTGTCCTGTCCCTGTACTCCACAATGACAATGAGGCTCTTGTGACAGCCTTCTTGATTTTTGGCTTTCAAGTAAATCCAAAATACACTACCATTTCTCGCCAAGTTCTTTAATAGATAAAATGACGTGAATAGTCCCATGATTAAGTCCCTGCCCATTTGCCTGAACTGACTTAACTTGGATCTCAGTTACTAATGAGCTCTGCTGTGTCCATCTGCAGGATGGATGTGGAAAAAGGCAAAATTGAAGACACAGGAGGCAGCGGCGGCTCCTATTCCATCAAAACCCAGTTTAATTCTGAGGAACAGTGGACAAAAGCTCTCAAGTTCATGCTGACGAATCTCAAGTGGGGTCTTGCTTGGGTGTCCTCACAGTTTTATAATAAATGACTTTCCTTAGGGGGATGTCTGCCTTAAAGGCTTTAAATTTGTTTTGTTTCAAAAAAAAGTTTTAAATTAAGTTCGGGTACTATTAAACAGCACATGTTTACAATACCAAAAAAGAAAAAAATCTACAAAAGCCACTTTATTTTAAAATATCATATGGCAAATAGTTCCCAGAGCTACACATGCCATGTATAGCTACCAGCCTTTGTTATAGTTTTGACTCTTAACCCATGCCTTCCTTTACCTTCTCCCCTTAAAACAACTAATTTAAGTTTGCTTCTGTTTTTTTTTTTAACTGAGTTGAATTGAGATCGATGTGTTTTCACTGGATTTTATCTCTCTCAACTTCCTGCACTTAACAATATTAAATAGAAACTTTTGTCTCCACTGAGACGATGAGATGTATGAGACGCACAGTTGGATAACTTGAGAAAATGACATATAAGCTTTGGTCACCATGTGATGTGATCAGAAGCTTGTAATCTAACACTTCGCACTCGGTTTGAGTACTGAATGCCTGCTCTGCTCTGTGTTAGAGATATGAAATAGTGTTTGATACTGTTTGAGACATTATGGAGAGAATTATTTGTAATAAAAGATTTGCTGCAGTCTGATAACTGCCCATGGGTTTTTCTTTAAAGTAGAGTACTTTGTATTCTGGGAGAGTTGAGTTCAAGTGCAGGTATGTGGAAATTCTGTTGAAACATGTTTAGAGATGGCTTAGTGTTACCTTCGAAAAAGACTAGTGAAAATAGTCGGCTGTAGAAAAAGCCCTATTTGTGTAGATTTCAATAACAGAACAGAGATGTTAAACTAACTTTAAGGGGAAATACAGACTGCCTTCTTGCTCAGTCAAGATGACCCAGATGGTCTCAGTTTTTGAACCCTTGGTTAATACTGATCTCCATGTCTGATACTCTTAATGATATGAACAGTTAAAGAAAAGCCATAAATATCTTGTTAAACAAAAATGAACCAACTTCACTAATATTCTATCTCTCCCAACATTTTACATTTTCATTCTGATACGACAAAAAGGACATGCTTGTCCACCTTAACTCTTTCACTGATGCAGAAAAATAAGCATAAAGTAGGAATATAAAACGGTTCAAAAGGTACTTGAAACTTTTGTACCCTGAGTATTAAAGTAAACAAAGGGAGGGATGAGTGCAGTGACAGAAGGCTGTTTCTACTTGGCAGATTCTGTCTGCCTCATGTGTTGGAGGAAGCAGCAGCCCTCAGAGCTCTGGCCACCAGGTGGGGAGGAATGGGCTGCTGTCGCCCTGGAGTGTTGGCTCCCACGCTGTGCATCAGGATTGCATAAGAGAATGCAGCGATGCTCTCCAAGGCAATGCCAGTGATGCTCTGCAAATGCCCCACAACCTTCAGAAATAGAGACAAATTTTTTATTACTAAAGCATAACATGTTTTAGTGCACAGACTAATTGCTTGGGCTGTTCTTTCAAGCCAAATACAATTTTTTTTGTTTCCCTGAATTTACAGAGAAGATAAAATCCAGATCCCAGTGTTTGCCAATAGCTAGATTACATGAGGATACCTTTGCCCTGATGGTGTTTGTGTGGAAAGTTTCTGCTAGACATTTCACTAGGCTGGAGATAAGTTTTGTGAAATGTGAGAGGGATGTTTGGGCCTTGACATTTTCTCTATTTGGGATATGTTTATTGATCATCATAAAGTGAAATGAACTTGGACCTCCATTTCTAACTTCATAAGAGGGAAACTGGAGAACACTTTTCAGTCCTAACCTACTTTTTCCTCTCCCAAATCCTGCTCATTCATTTTAATCCTGGGTCTTGGCACTTAATCTTTTATAGTCTCTGTTTTCCTTTAACTAATGGAAGAATGCTTTCTATTAAATGAATTCTGACCATGCTGGTCCTGTTCAGTGGTGCGTACCTGGCTCCAACATGCATGGTTTTGGATGAAAGCACTTGCTGCAATGATTCCTACTGCCAACAGCATGAAGTCTTCCTTCACTGAAACAAACTTTTCCCTGAGTAATTAAAACCATTATTAATTTTGGAGCTAGAATAAAATTTGATCTTCTAAATCCTAGGGTCATGGAACTTCAATTGTTTATATTGATCATCTTGGATTTTTTAGACATGGAAGGAAATGGTCAAGTAATAGTTAATTGACCCCTCTCCCAGCCTCCCCCAAGTCAACTGGGATTAAAACATGAGCCTCCTGTCTGAATGGTTTATAAGCCTTTTGTTGTTCCATCTGTCTCCCTAACAAATGTAACTGAGGCTTTTTACCATTCTGACTTTACAGTAATCAAACACTTTTGTCCAAGTTGCAACCTTGTGACTGGTTTTTTTCCCCAAGTGACTATAAAAGCAGTCCAGTAATCTCAAATTATAAACAGCTATAAAGAAAGAACTAGGAAATAATTACTTGAAGTCATTTAAATTTAAAAGTGAAAACATTTAGGGTTTTGCTGATTGGGCTCAGTCATCTGCATCCAGGCAGCATACCAGACGTTAATTTGAACCAGATAACCTATGCAGGTTATCTGTGGACTGGATGCCTTGCTAGGTAAATTCCATTCCCCAAGTTCTCATGCTACATTCTGGACTCTCTTTCTGGAAGGAGCCTACGCTAAAGGAGTTGCCTTACCCTTGCAGCTGACTGGGTGTGGAGTTCTCAATTGAAGCCCTCAGCAGGCTCTCATATACAGGTTCGTGCAGAAGATAGACTAGATCGAGGAGGGTTAGGCAGGTTGCGTGCAGCTGAGTGGCTGGGACCAAACAGCCATTGTATCCTAGATGGAGTATGGGCATGGTAAAGAGCATTATGCAGGTCTTTTCTGATCATAATCACGGTGGTTATGTAACAAAACTGTTGAGCTGCTAATGTGCTTCCTGGTTGCTTGGCTTTTACTCTAAGAAACCTCTTCAGCTAGAGGTCAATTTTAAAGGACAAAGGGAAAGGTAATCTCCATATACAATTAGAGTATATTTGTCTGTTCCCCTCTTATCTCATGCCTCTCTATAAAATCAACTCTTTGATCCTGCAGTAAGAGAGTGCCCTGTGAGTTCAAACAGAAGCCAGGTGCTGAGATCTGTTTCTTTCCCTGACAAGTACCAGAGAGGGCACTTTCCTCAGCCCAGGCTTCCTGCTGTTCCTCATTGGTGGGTTCTGCCCACTACCCCAGGGTACATTCTTTTTTAAAAAATATGTTTTTGTTGATTTCTATTTATTTACTTAGAGAGAAAGGAAGGGAGAGGGAGAGACAGATAGAAACATCCATTGGCTGTCTCCTACACACCCCCTACTGGGGACTGAGCCCGCATCCTGGGCATACACCCTGACGGAATCAAACCTGACACCTCTTGGTGCATGGATGATGCTCAACCAACTGAGCCACACCAGCAGGACTCTAGGTACATTCTTACTGCCTTCTACGGAAGACTCCAACCCACAGTCTCTAGCACACTTAATATAAGTACCTAGAACCTCAAGGAGCATCTCCACATATGCCAGGGGAGTAGACAGATTGATTTGGAAGTTCAGGGACTTCAAAACATCAAGCTCTGACTCCAGCAGTTCTTCTTTAGTGTGTAGATATCCTAGAGCCTGGAGGAAATTCAGGACTGTAATGTTGCTGATTATCTGAGCAAGGAAAAACAAAATAGTGAGGGGGAGAAAAGGGTGTCAGAGTAAAGGTCATACATCTTGGCACAGTGTACAAAGCCCATCACAATCCAGCCCCTGCCATCTTCTCCCTTGGTAATGCCCCCTTACCCTCCATGCTTATCATATAGAGCTTGCAGTTCCCAAACCCACCAAGCTCCCTAAGCCTCCACACAAGCTGTTGTTTCCTGTGTCTGCATCTCCCCTTCCTCCCCCTTCTCCCTGCTTTTCTTAACTCTTCTCCCTCTTCCCTTAGGACCCACCCATCTTCCACACCCTCTCCCCCTTCAAGAAGTCATTTTCTCTAAATACACTTCCTTGACTCTCCAAGGCTGATAAGGTACATTCATAGCCCTCTGTATTTACACTAATCAGAACATTTTCCCACATTATTTGCATGTGTGTCTTCTCTCATTGGATAAGTTCCTTGACAGCACAGACAGTCTTTTTACTGTTGCAGCCATGGCACCTAGTGTAGCATCTGGCCATAGAAGACAACCAATATTTGTTGAATGAATGATACTTTGTTATATAGGCATTGGGTAGTGACATGGAAAAAAATGTTGTCCTTTATAAATGTAATAGTTTGCTTTTAATACTGATAGGTATGTTGGCAATTCAGACATTCTATGTAAACTGTCCTTGAGCCCAAGGGGAGAAAAGGTGACCTGTACAAATTATGGCATCTGTCCAGCAATTATACTTTGGGAACAGAACTTAAGGCTATTTAGCAATTGCCTCTGTGTGTGTGTGTGTGTGTGTGTATGTGTGTGTGTGTGTGTGTGTGCGCACGCACACGAGCACACCTGGGAGGTATGCTTAGGAAGCATAATTGCACTCTGGAATTTCCACTTGAGTAGTATCGCCTAGCCTAGGAGTAGGTTTCTCACAGTCACCTTTGGATGAGCTGGTTTCATTCTAACACTCAGGTGTCCATGAGCAACCCCAGCTCCTTACTTTGTAGTGGAAAGAAAGTTTGCTTGCCAGCTGAACACATGACACAAGACGCAGGATAAACTTGTTGAAAAGCTGCTCTTTCAGAGCCCTCCAATTCTGAGGCACTGTCTTATCCCGTAGCTGGATTGTGGCTTGCCTGCAGATATTCTCTGCCTGCTTAACCATAAACCTATAAAGGAAGGAAGGGGAGAGTAAACAATCCACCCTCACTCAAACTAAAGGGAGTTTCTGCTTCAAATTATGCTACATCTTATCCTCTCCAATAGCTATCGCTGGCTAAGAAATTTACATTTGCAATAGAGGGCACAAAACCAGGTCTCATGGTAAGGGGCAACTAGTACTGTTTTTTGTTGTTTTTTAAGATTTGGGTACATTAGCCATTCTGAGAGATACCACTACAAAGGCCTTATGCTCAGGGCTTTACCTTTCTAGGATTTCTACAGCCTGGTAGCTCACGGATTTCTCCAGACACCATTGTTCAGACAGGAGAAAAACAAACTCTGCCAAAACAGGAAAGAAGAGCCTAATTCACAAGGTGCAACCAAAACCACTCTGTGAACTCTTGGCGTTGTGTAAAAGCCATGATAGGGCCAAGGGAAGAGGGTCAGGAGGTGAGAAAGATGAGACTGAAACAACCCAAGCTCAGTTTAGTTCCCTTTGCTGCCAATAGGAAGATCAGAGGCATGAAAAGGAGGCTGACTGACTGAGTGCCAAAGACAAGGCTTACCAAGCCCCCTCAGTGACCCTGGAGCCTTCCTGTGGGTCTCAGCTGATAAAAGGCTTAGCCAGCTACACACAAACATACCAGCTGGTCTACTTGGCCTCTGCACCATGCTGGGAACCCCCAGCTTCAAGGATGATTCTTGGATGGATAAAAACCCTAACCCCTATATTCTGTTTGCAGTGGAATGTTGACAGGAACAGAAAGGTCCCTCCTGGGGCTTCAATATTCTTTATAATACTGTTTGTTTAGTAACCACCCTCTGAAGAACCCCATTGCTTTACAAACACGATTCACCTTACAGCTGGACACCATCTCTCCACCACCAGTTTGTTGGGTAAATCTGTGGTGGCTGAGCCTCTCCCCAGGAGCAAGTTTGTTACGGTGGAGTGACTTGTTTGAAAGAAACATCATCCAAATCAGGGAACACAGCCCAATTTGGGGGGTGAGGGAGTCACTGGGAAGATGGGAAGGGCAAGATACCTTGGCAAGATCTGAGGCTGCCTGTTTCTCTTTGAAAGAACCGCCCCAGCTAGAATTTTATTTAGTTTGCAATATCATTAGAGGGCGGAAGCAAGGATAAATGTTAGTTCTCAATAAAGAAAGCTCCAGAACTGGGAACTTTTAGCACTGATCAGCAAGAATTACAATCAAATTATGTCTTCAGAGAAAATCTGACTTTCTTAGAATAAAAATGATAAAAGGTAGCACAAAATAATTTAACAGTCTGCTCAACACATTACACATAGTTATATGTACAAAACCTTATTGTTACAGAGACCAAAGCTCTGCTAGCAGTGTCCAATGAAGAGAATGTTTAAGCAATTAAGCAAAATACCCTAAAATAATTGTGTGTTGTTAGCTGGTCCTTTTATTTGATGGAGTTTAGGCTTTGTTTTCTTTTGTGTGTGTGTATAGTTGCTTGGTTTTGTTTGGGTTTTGGTCTGAATGATCTGGGCAATTGTTTCTATTTTCCATTTTAATTTGCCAAGAAAACTGAGCTTGGGTTAGGTGGAATGGATGAGGGTTACACCTCTCCTTTGCTGTTGGCTCCACCTCCTGCACTTAGAAACACACTCAGACCTATTAATTAAAAGACCCTCCCCTTCTATCCTCTTAAGCTAGGGCTTTATCTAATTTCTTGAAAGCCTCGTTTGCATCTGCTGCTTCCACTTCATCATTCACTTTCTAAATGTTACACACTTTGGCTTCTACTTTTCCTAACTTGCTGAAATGATTGTCTCAAAGGCCAGCAAATATGTCCAAACTGTTAAATGTCATGGCCCGTTTGCCATCTTCATTCCTGTTGTTCATATCCCTGAAGCATCTGAAACTGACTGTCATCCTTCTTGAAACTCTCCTCTTGCTTCCAAAGATCTCTTGGTTCTGTTGGTATCTCCCAAACCACTCCTCTTATTTTCTTCATGACTTTTCTTCCTACTCCAATCTCCTGAACACAAAATGTTTCCCGAGGAACTGTCCTTGACCTTCTCTTTTCTCTCTAGTAGCTCATCCTCTGCCTCTGCGTTATCATTATAGAGATAATTCCCAAACCTTTATCTCTAGTTTTGACCTCTCTTCTGGCTTTTTAAACAGCCAGCTAGAAACCTTCCTCTAAGTGTTTTACAAGCACCTGAAACTCAGTAGATTCAAAAACAAAGTGATTATCTTTCCCAAACAAAAATCACACTTCCACCCTAGTCAGTTTGGTTCAGTGGTTAGAGCATCAGCCTGCAGACTGAAGGGTACTGGGTTCAATACTGGGCAAGGGCATGCACCTCAGTTGCAGGCTCAATCCCTGGCCCTGGTTGCGGGG